GAATTTCGTAATATATTATTATATATATATATATATATATATATATATATATATATATATATATATATATTATTATCAGCTTTCAATCTTGAACAGGATTCGAACCTGTACACTCTGCATCATAGAACACAGTGCTTTAGCCACACAGCCAGATCCCGATAAGTATGGATGTGTAGCCAAAATATGCGATGTTTTCCATCCTCAGGAGCACTTGGCTTGTGATAAGTTGTATCATCTCGGGTACCACTTGCATTGAACTTCGACAGAGAGTTTAGAATGCTTACAATTAGCCAACAAGCTTCTAAAATCTCTTTCGATGTTCAGTGCATGTGGCAGGATAAGATGAAATTAGTTATCACAAACCAGGCGTTCCGGGGTTTAGTGATATAACACCTAGCTCCGACTAGGCGCCAATACTCATCAGGGTCTGGACCGGTGGCGAAAGTACTATGTACTTTGAGGCAGAGTACGCAGGTTCGAATCCCGTTCAGCCGTTACTTCTCTGTCCAGGTGTCGAATCCTGTTCACCATTTGCTTCTCTTTTCAGGTGTCGAATCCTGTTCATCATTTGCTTCTCTGTGCAGGTGTCGAATATTATTGTTCACCCTTTGCTTCTCTGTGCAGGTGTCATCCAGTAGCAGATCTCCGTATTTCCTCTATTTTTATTTTATTTTCCTGGGTGGTATGGACGGCGTGCTCTGTGGGAGAGCAGGGGTGATGATGGCTTAACATTGGAACATAAGACTCGAGGATCGTTTAAAGGCATATAGAGTACGAGTGCTTAGAAGGATTTTATTTATGCAAGCCAATCTTAGTCAAGTCGCAGAGTGTCTGTCTTGGAGACAGGTTAGGTGTGATGTCCACCCGCAACTCCTTTTCATTTCCTGATTGTTTGAGTTGTGACCGTAGATGATAGAGTCCGCTAAATGATGATTGCTTTGCAATTTTAGATGCAGTTTTTCATCGCATTTGCAAAAAAGAAATCACATGTAGAGAAGCTTTTATAAAAGGACGTACAAATGGTGAAGACTTGCATCACGAGGCAGTCTTAATAAGAGCCTAACTCAGGAACTCTTATAAATTATAAAGCTCTCTAAAATATAATGTGATATTTGCGCATTATGAACTTGAAAAAAGTAAATCCTCTAAATTGAAAATCACTTGAAAAGACCTATGCAATATTGAAAACTTTACAATTTTTTTATCTTATAGAAGAATTTCATTAAAAAAACTTCTTTGATTTCTCACTATAATTTTCACATTTCTACAATCTATCTCGATTAACTGCACTTTACTGTAGTTTTATATCATTTTTATGTCTATTGTACTTAGGATCCTGCAAGTAGGACTAGTGGAAGAGAGGAATTTCTTGATGACAAGCAAAAAAATCTCACATAAAAACACAAACATGGAAATTAGGCTGGATTGTATAACTGGAGTTACTAAGAATCCCTTAGAGGTAGACAAAATCATTCACAGGGACACACACACACACACACACACACACACACACACACACACACACACACACACACACACACACACACACACACACACTAAATCACTATTGCAAATCAATTGCAAGACAAAACAAGCCTATCAAGTCATCAATTACAAAACATTACGGCCGAACAAAAACTCGACCACTAGTCCCACGACAGCGGGCCACCCGCACCCGCAACTCCACAACAACGAGTTTATTATTAATACAAAAACCGGTTTTGGGGGGGTTGGACAGTTCTCTAAAACCCATTAAAGAGAGAGAGAAAGGGAGAGAGAGAGAGAGAGAGAGAGAGAGAGAGAGAGAGAGAGAGAGAGAGAGAGAGAGAAAAGCAGCGGAGCAGTAAGGCCCGCCGCTAAAAATCTTACGTAGTGCACAATGATGGCCTGGCTTTTAGGCGTCCATTACGGCTGTATTAAGTCCTCCAGCCTTTTTCTTCTATCATTGTCGCCGGAAAACTGACGTAGTAAACATTGACAGTCTCACGCAGGACGTCTCTCTCTCTCTCTCTCTCTCTCTCTCTCTCCACAACAATCTGAGCATTTGTATTTTTCTGTTATATTATAATAATAATTATTATTATTATCAGAAAAAAATAGTGTGATAGTGACCCAAACAGTAGTTTGCCTACCTGAATATTTACGTCCGTATTTATACATGTGTTTGTATTTATATGTTTAACACATATAATCTCTTTATATGCATGCACCTTTGTATATATTTTTTTGTGATATAGACTGTATATATTTCTTTTGTGATAGACTAAATGATAAGGTGTTTATATAATATTTATAATTATAGTAATTAATAATCATAATTATTTTCCATGAAGATGAATTACTTTTAAATCATCTTTGTATGACTGTTCAAGATTAATCGAGAGTTTCGAATATGTTCGGATGTGACTAAATTACAGTGTATGGTTGATCAATTTATTTTCGTGATGTGTGGTTTCGAACACTCCCGTCATTGATGTCCTTGACTTGTTCTCTCTTGCAGTCAAACAGCGATAAGGGCGACAGCTTGACCTCAATCTCAGTTTTTTCACCCAAATCGCCGCCGCCCATGGGTCAGTTCAACATGCCTGCTGAAATCTTCCAGGTCAGTTGAAATTTTGAGTTTTTTCCCCCGTCCACTCCTCCCTATCCCTCCTCTTTCTGATTCCCCAGTCTTCAGGGCTTGAAACTTAATGCTAAGGACCTAAAATGATGTTCAGGGTCTTGACAAATGATGTTGAAACCCTGATATCAGGGTTAGGGGTTCAAGATATAAAAGTTCAGGTTCTGAAGGCATGGTGTGAGTTCTCCCAGACACGGTAGCAGGTTACGATGAACTACTAGTAATAACAGAATACAGGCTGCACTTCTGTTGCTACTAACAACTGTCTCCAGCAAAATAAAAATGTAAACCTGCTTGAGAAACCGTTTACACACGTAGTTTATGCCATAAAATGAAGCTAATGCCTTGAGGAACGTGGTGAATGCTGAAGGATTGAAGTCTTTATCTTAAGAATTGCAGCCTGAGCCATCATTAGGATCGCAGTCAGAGCCTTAAGGATAGCAGCCAAGACGTCAGAGATAGCATTCAAGGCCTTAAGAACTGTTTGTAAGGTACTGGAGTTATCTTAACCTGCTAAAACGTGGGATATGTATATATTTCTGTCAAAATACTTTCTACTAAGCTGAGATTAGTGATCACTAGATCACTAATCTCTAAAGCCACTGCGTAGTGAATCAAGATACGCTCATACACCCTTCAAGTGATTGTCTTGCATTAAGGCTTCTGCCGTTTAGTCACGAACCTTTAATAATTGGCCTAGATTATCTAATGGCGTTGTTTACTACGTGAAATCATCGGGGACGTCAGTTGACTGGTTGGAATGATTCAGTCATTTGTAACATTTGCTGGCTTAATTTTGCCACGCAGAAAACCGATTCCTTTGAGACAGAAAGATATATACTTCCCTTACCTCCTCTTCTCTTTGAATCTTATACTGTTGTATTTGTTAGTCTATAGTTCACTTAGTGTTTCAGTGCTAGCTTTAATTAATGCTATAATGTGATATTAACGTTAGTAATGTCGATTTTTGCGAGACTCGATAAATAATTTCAAGATAGACATTTCTGAAGTCATAATTGCTACAAATGAAGCTCATAATATTTGCATTTGTCTATACATTTTGATCCAATTTTTATACATGTTATAACTGTGTACGACGACCTGTTTTGTTTTGACATACACCACGACTTATCATCAAAATTTTGACATCTGTGTTAACACTGAAATGTTTGTCCACCGACTCAACACACTCACGAGTTGTGACTAGCTCTTGTTTTTGTCTTTTGCGGAGTCAGCTACTTGGACTGATTGCAAAAATTCTGACATTAACAGCAATCCCGACGACCTAAATTGGAAGTTTTTTTAAGTGTTTATGTATGTATGCCATTACAGTACATACTGAAGGTAGGTTGAAAAAAATGTAGCTGACGAATAATGCATACTCGAAGTATGCATTATGAATACACAACATGCATATAGCTGTTTCTAACTTCCCTTTGATTTAGAATTTATATTTCATACATATACATTTTAGGTACGTCTTTTTCACTCAATTATACATGGCGCATGTATTATCTGACGTCACAAATAGATAACGAATGCTTGGGTACCAAGCTTGAACACTAAGCTTGGACACCAAGCTCTAACAGCAATCTTGGACACCAACCTAGAACGAACCTTCCATCTGCTAAATAAGGATTCAGTGCTACTGGGGTGTCTTTCTCTTTAACTGTATCGTATAACATTCTAGAAGTGTCTTTGCTTTTCTTGAGCTATACATCATGCACTCGTTACGCAAGTCTGTAAAGACTGTCAGGGAAGACAGTGAAGACAGTCTGGGAAATCAAGAAGTAAAGACAGCCAGAGAAAACAGTTTGTGATCACAGTTTGTGAAAACAGTCTGTGAAAGTGTGAAGATAGTCTGTAAAGATAGTCGGTAAGGATAGTCGGTAAGGATAGTCGGTGAAGATAGCCGGTGAAGTCAGTAAATGAAGACAAAATCAGAGACATCTACAGAGGGTTAACTTCGCTAACAACACGAGGCACGAACACAAATGAAAATCTTCATCGATTATATTGCTTGTCACCTCAAGGTAAAGACAAGCTTATGAAACACCAAGAATATATTTGTCTTACAGATTTTTTTTTTTCCTTGAGACTCTTTCCTCAATTAAAAAAAAAAGACCAAAAAGGGTTTAATAACGTCATCATACTTATAAAAATGCAGTTTGAAAATCATTATTGCCAACAACGAGAAAATATAACACCATTGCATAACATTATATATATATATATATATATAATATAATATATATATATATATATATATATATATATATATATATATATATATATATATATATAATAATAATAAATATAATAATAATAAGTTGCCACTGAGACAACGTTTCTGTGTTTTTTGGATTTTTATCATTAAAGTTCGTCAATAAAAGTTAGAGAGCATTGAGCGTTGTCTTAATAAAAGCTTGTTCTGGGTATTGTGTATCTTGACTATTGTGGGCAACACGCCATTTGCATCCGTGAAGGCTTTTGTTAACTTTACTCTGACAAATTTGGTGACACGCTGGGAACAAGAAACGGAATTTTTGTGACAATTGACACCACACACACACACACACACACACACACACACACACACACACACACACACACACACACATACCCACACACCCACACACCCACACACCCACACACCCGCACACATACACACTCGTCCATGGTGCTCAGTACTGGGGAACGCACTTTGCCCGGTCAGGTCGAGGGCTGCCTTCTCTCTACGCTGACATACGCCAGTTCCACCAACGCACCGCGTCTAAACGCGGCAGGACTGGCCCGCTGTCTACGCGAGCATACGCCAGTGAAACCAACGCATCGCTTCTCATCTCGTCTGAAAACTGAGACGCATTTGTCATGCGTAGCTTGTTATGACGTGTGTGTAAATGTTTTATACCGCAATCTCTATTTTTCCCGTCTTTTCTGTTGCGTTCATGCATTATCCGGGCCTTGGCATTTACATCGAAGAGGGGATTAACCGCCCCCTCTCCCTGTCCCTCCGGTTGTATCCCAAGGCAGAGAGGGATAGAGGCTTTGGGGATGGGTGCTGTAAGGGTGATATTAGCATGCATCTATCGGCAGCTGGTTGTGTTCGTCTGTCATTACGCGTGGCCTCTTATCAGAGAGAACGATAGTAAAAGATTTGTTATAGAATGTAATGTGTCCTAATTGATCACTAATTTTCACTAACTTTCGTCTAATAATCCCCCCTTGCACGCATATTTTTTGTTATTAACCCACGTTTACAGTTTGAAAAATATTTGATAAAAAATAATAAGGGCACAGATATCAACAGAATAGGAAAGGGTGATAATTTATGAAGCGGGAAAGTGAAACGTAAGGCAAATTGGCTAAACGTAATGAAAGTTTTAGTACTGGGGACTGAACGTCACTTGGAAGGTCCCGACAAATTGGCTGGTCAGCTTTGCAAAAATATGGACAAAAATCTTGTCGAAGAGAGGGGGTCAGAAGGTCATAGTTTTGACCGAGAGGATGGTTTGGTGTTGGAGAAGTTGTTGGTGAGGGTGTTGGTGGGGGTGTTGGAGGTGGTGATTTGGTGTGGATGTTGATGTTGAAGGTGTTGTTGTAGGTGGTAGTGGTGATGTTGCAGGTGGAGGCATTGGTGGTGGTGTAGGTGGTACTGGTGGTGTTGTAGGTAGTAGTGGTGGTGTTATAGGTGGAGACAGTGGTGGTGTTGCAGGTGGTAGTGGTGGTGTTGCAGGTGGAGGGAGTGGTGATGTTGCAGGTGGAGTCAGTGGTGTTGCAGGTGGAGGTGGTAGTGGTGCTGCAGGTGGAGGCAGTCGTAGTGCTGCAGGTGGAGGCAGTCGTAGTGCTGTAGGTGGACGCAGTGGTAGTGCTGCAGGTGAAGGCAGTCGTAGTGCTGCAGGTGGAGGCAGTCGTAGTGCTGCAGGTGGAGGCAGTCGTAGTGCTGTAGGTGGAGGCAGTGGTAGTGCTGCAGGTGGAGGCAGTGGTAGTGCTGCAGGTGGAGGCAGTGGTGTGTGCTGCAGGTGGAGGCAGTGGTGTGTGCTGCAGGTGGAGGCAGTCGTAGTGCTGTAGGTGGAGGCAGTCGTAGTGCTGCAGGTGGAGGCAGTCGTAGTGCTGCAGGTGGAGGCAGTGGTGGTGCTGCAGGTGGAGGCAGTGGTGGTGCTGCAGGTGGAGGCAGTCGTAGTGCTGCAGGTGGAGGCAGTCGTAGTGCTGCAGGTGAAGGCAGTCGTTGTGCTGCAGGTGGAGGCAGTCGTAGTGCTGCAGGTGAAGGCAGTCGTAGTGCTGCAGGTGAAGGCAGTCGTTGTGCTGCAGGTGGAGGCAGTCGTAGTGCTGCAGGTGGAGGCAGTCGTTGTGCTGCAGGTGGAGGCAGTGGCGGTGCTGCAGGTGGAGGCAGTTTTTGGTGCTGCAGGTGAAATCAGTGATGGTGTTGCAGGTGGAGGCAGTGGAGGTGTTGTACGTAGAGGCAGTGGTGGTGGTGTACGTAGAGGCAGTGGTGAGTACTTCCTTCAGTTTGCTGAATGCCACAACAAAGCCTGCTAGGTTAATGAATGAAGCCGTCAAAGCCGTCACTTATAAGTGGTGTGTTTATACTAGGTTTTCTTTTGTTTGATTTACTATACAATCTGAACAAGATTCTAGTTAGACTCTGTGAATGTGTGGAATGAGTTGTGAGAGTTTCCTTGTGTTGTAGGATGCACTGTTTGTGTGTGTGTATGTACATATGTGTGGGCTATTGTGTGGGTAAGTGGATAATGAAAGAATAAAAGTGGATAATGAAAGAATAAAAGTGGATAATGAAAGAATATATGGTTCATGTGAGACGTGAGGCTAGGCAGCTGACGCAGTAACAGACGTACACTAGCAGCAGCAGCAGCAGCACCAGCATCAACATAAACACAAGCAGCAACAACACTAGTAGTAAGAACAACAGTAGTACTAATAATGGATGCAGTAGTACGACCAACAGCAACGCTAGAGGAAAG